TATCTTTATTTATACATGGATATATTTTATAAAAATTTGATATTTGAAAACTATATTTCAAAATGAATATATTCATATTAAAGTTATATCGTAATACAATGTATTTTTTCCACATATCATAGTCAAAGTTTACAAACTTTGACCAAGAAAAGTCAAATGGGAAGAATATTTCCGGACGAAGGGAGTAAGATATTGGGAAATGTGAAACTTCTAACGCTACAACTATTTTTCAACGGAGGAAGTATATGCTATGATCTATATTTAATAAGATTTGGAGATTGAGCCAAGCATAATTGTTACAGAGTATATTTTGCTCGGTTTTGGTATTTATGGGTTAAATATTCTTGGAACTGTGGTAGTTAGAAGCAGCTGTAGGATGGTTTCTACTCCTGTTTCATATTAGTGTTCACATTTAATTTGATATAAAGTTTAAGAGCAGTGATCGTGGGTTGCAGAATTGGTGGGGTATATAGAAAGAGGGATAGTGAGAAATGGATAGGTAATACTCCCTCCATCCCATATTTAAATTCTCAGTTTTCTCTAATTGACGTTCCAAATTAAAGTTCTCATTTCTTTTAAGAAATGAATACTGAGGTTCTTATTATTTCTCTCTTCTACATAAATTCCAAACACACAATTTCACTGTTTCTGAACTCTGTGAGAAAGAGAAATCTTAAAGATAAGACGGAGGGAGTATTTTATTGGGTAACCGTTTTCGAAACTGGAAATCAGAACACCAATTTGGAACAGCTGAAAATAACAAAGGGAACACTTATGAAATGGATGTAGTACTTGGCTTCATCCTCCAGAAGTGAATTAAAATATGAAATCGAGGGAGTACTTTACTAGCCAACTGTTTCCAAAACTGGAAATCAGAGAACTAATTTCGAACACCTGAAAAAGAAAAGACAGAACCCGTTTATGAAATGGATGGACAACTTAGCTTCATCCTCAATTTTACCAACCAAACATTGTGAACAACTTGTTTCATCCAGTGTCCTCAAAGTGAAAAATGAAGGGTAATTGCACAAAAAATGATTAACTGAATTTCCTTTAGGAAATGTCACATCTTTCGATTTCATTATCCAATTGTTTAAATTTCAATCAACAATTCACATTCCAGATTCAATTGATAATCCTTGCCTTCTATTACTCTGCAATTTATAGTACCTTACTACTCCCTCCACCCCATAATAAACAACACACTTATTTTGGTCTAACAACACAGTTTTATCTCACTAGGTGGGGTTGGCTACTTGGATCCAATAACGGCATTGCGCCCTATTATATGCCATATTTGCAGTGAGATCCTTCACGCGAAGATCCCCCTTGACCACTTCGTGCCAAATCTTCTTAGGTCTACCTCTTCCTCTAGCCACATATCTATTCACCATTTGATCAACCCTTCTCACCGGATGCTCCATTTGTCTTCTCTCCACATGTCCAAACTCCAAACCACCTAAGACGAGTTTCCACAATCTTTCCTACAATAGGTGCCACTCCAACTTCTGCTCTCATATCTTCATTCCTTATTCATGACATGGATCAAACTTTTTTTTGGTTCATCTCAAAATAAAAGTCCATTTCTTTATTTGGCAAGGAATGTGTGACCATTATTTTCTTTCAAATCAATTCTAACCACACTTCACTTTAAAAAAAATTCTTCGACTCCTGTGTGATCCAAGTAGATTTTTAATTTGGGACAGAGGGTGTATGATATAGGTTTTCTTTTTATCAAGAGTTTTTCTCAAAGTGGTTTTGTTTTGTTCTTTATATGAATGAATACATACAGCTTCGACGGAAGCTTGTAATGAATTGATGGCATACTCTTTAATATTTTCCTGTTGCTGCTACACATGTTGCATAAGAAGGAAGCTGCGGAAACAGCTTAGCATCAAGGTATCTTCTTTTCTTCCCTCTGCAGCATATCCCTTGTTTAGGAAGCTCCTTGCTCTCCAACTTTGATTTGAATCCAGAATACGTGAGGCCCGTCATACAATACAATAGTAGTAGTAATATTAATAATAGTAATAATAATGATGATGATTATGACGACGACGAGGACGGCGTGATTATGAGAACACACCCCCCCCCCCCCCCCCCNTCAAAATATGGAGTTTGCTGATCTCTATCAGTTCATAGACAACAGTAGCATATAATTACTTTGAGTTTTATGGTCAGGGTCGTCTTTGTGGATGTGGGAAAATGATTTGGAGCACCATGGTGATAACGATCTGGTGTCCCATGTTCACTTTCTAACATGTCATGCTCATGACTTGGGTGTTCCTCTTAGTCCATGCTCACTAACAATATTAATAGTAATTGCTAGAACTAAAGTACTCTGTAATTATATATTGTGTGTATACCATGCTTACAAGACCAAATTTATACAGTAAACCATTTTATAGTCCGTCGCTGAATCCCTACCTTGGTTTGGGTTGACAATTAAAAAAAACAGTTGTGAACTCTCCATCCATCCTTATTTTGCAGGGAGGGTTGATTGATGATTTCCTCTCACATATGATGTGCTGTTGCTGTGCCCTGGTGCAAGAACATCGGGAACTTCAGATTCGTGGAATTGATGGTATGACATTTTTCAGTGCTGGCGAACATGTTGTTTCTTTCTTTTTTATTGTTATTGATAAATCAGAATGGTCTAATAATCTTCTGACTGCTCCTGCTTGGTCTTCTTTTCCTGCATACAATTTAAAGAAATCTAGGACTAAAATATTAAACTTATAGACATCTTATGTTTTTTATCCTCTAAATAGGAGCATTGACACTATATTATGTCACAATTTGGCATTATATGTTGGCACAATGTTTTTTTGGCATTATAAGTAAGTCCTATTTAGTCACGTTTAGGTAGTTCTTTACAATTTATCTGTCTAGAATTGCCAATGCCTCGATTAATCCCTGCCTGAAACTGTCTAGGCCTTGATTAATCCACTCCTAGAGGTTCTTAGACAATAGGTTTTAGTCTAAAATTAGTATGTACTTGAAGAGGTGCAATGATAAAATATGCAGGCATACCGAAGGTGAAAACAAGCCCTCCTCCCACTCAAACCATGGAATCCTAAACGCTTTGGTTGTATCTGGAAAGCATGACACGCATTTCAAGACCTATCTGATTTAAAAATAATAGAGAATGTAATTCATGATTTATAACATATCAGTAGAGACAATAGAGCTAGCAGCAGCAGTATGTACTTGCTACTCTTTTGTCTAGAAATCTTCAAGCCTCCCTCTCTATGTGTGTGTGTGAGGAATGATGAGAACTAACAGATTTAGCTGCATCATGTATATATAAAATATGATATGATCAACATTCATAGCATTGCGTGCATTTATCTATCGCTGGACTTTGTTCCTTCACGGAAGTCATTTGTTATAGCTTATCATAGTCACCCTACAAAATCAATATGAGTTCGTATATGATACAACCAGGTAGTACTCATTTTGAAGTGAAGTAGTATTCATTCTCACATAAAACATAAGTGTACATTTTGAAATAATGTAGTACTCCTTCTGAAGTAATGTAGTACTCATTTTCATACATTTGTTCAATACAATTATAATACGGAAAAATTCACAACAATACTCTGATAAATTTCCGATTTTACATGAATACTCCGAAAATTAATTAATTACACCATTACTCCCAAATTTGCTCCCTTTTGGCAAAAATACTCCACACACCACCTTACTTGCACAATAAAATCATGCAATATCTAAATGAATTTTTGAAGTGATGATTTGAAAACAACTACAAGTACTTTTTTTGGTTTTCATAAAAAAATAAATAGCTCAATGCTGTAACCATCAGCATTGGTTACTTGCACGAACTCTGGGTCATTAACATCAATATGTGGCTTGGTTACAAACTCTTCATCCAATACTGACTCATCCATAAGTTGGTTATGACATGTATGCCAAAGTGAACTAACACTTCTACGGCATATGTTGAAGTCGTTCATGATTTCTTTAATCGTGTCGTACTGAAATTTTCCATTAGTGGTCTTGTAAAGCAAACAATCTAGGATTACTCTCCTTTACAAATCTGTTAAGTTTCTTTGTTTAATTGGAGGACTAATTCCTCCTCCTCTTTCTCCTTCTTCTTCTCCCTCTCCGTCTCCCTCTCCCTCTCCTTCTCCCTCTCCTTCTCCTTCTCCTTCTCCTCCTTCTTCTTCTCCTTCTTCTCGTTGTCCTTCTTCTTCTTCTTCTTCTTCTTCTTGGAATAAATTTGTAAACCGCAGCTTTCCTTTTATAGACTAATGCAGTTATTTTTTGGTGTAATAGAGGGAATTTTTCCCTCCAAGACTTTGATTAGATGTTTACTTAAATTACGAGATGCATTTGGTGAATGTAATGATTTGTTTGCTTTTTATTGTGATGGTGCGTGTAAGTGTATGAATAGGTATGGGATTTATTTGGTTTTATTATTATTTCATTTTTAGCTTCAGACCTTAAAAAATTGAGGGGCAATTTTGAAAAATCTACCTTAATTTTTCTTTCCTTAAATATGGCCTAAAGTCAAAATAAGCGTTATAAAATGAGACAGAAGAAGTAATAAAATAATAATTGTTCAAAGTAAACTTTAATAATATGGAACATGAAATCTTAGCAGAAAACATGAAGCATGTTAGAGTAAATTTTTAGGTGTTTGATTTGTTAAAGTAAGAAGACTTTCAATCATAACGGTCAAATAGATAAAATGTACCACAGAGTACATTAACACAAATTGTAAGAACCTCAAAATATATTGCAAATAATGTAAAACCTGAAATTTTTTATGAAAATAGAAAGTACTCCAAAGTATATTCAAAATAATGTGAAATTTGCTTGTTTACAAGAAGATGGAGGATGTAATTTTTTGAATAATGAAAATGAAAACTTTAATTTCAATAGGGAGTATGCTAACTCCAGACAATGATACCATAGACTCCGAACGGTAGTATGCTAAGCCCAAACAATGCTTACCTTATATGCTCTAGCCCTAAGAAATGGCATAGATCTAAGGGCAATAAAGTCTGGTCGAAGCATCTTTGGAAAAAAAGTCTTGTCGAAGCCTAATAGCAAGCTTCCAAATACAAACAAATTCATATCTTTCCATTTTTCTTACCACCCCAAGTTGTACTAGTAGCAGGAGCACTTGGCTGCCATGGGGCAATAGATATCAAAATTCCCCATGCAACAAATCAAAGAAAGTCAAAACAACCTCCAGCTTCTTATCCAGGATAAAACAAAATATACCATCCCAACAAACTCAAAACAGCCACCGATAAAGTCGTCTCTAACTCTTTAGACTCTTTAATTTATTTATTTTTTTTTCAAATTTTCCCTGAGGTATGTTTATTTCTACCGGCAAGGCAAAGCCGATTGCTCTTGTTTAAGCCAGCAGTCACTCAGTGGGTACCTGCTGCCCTGCCTCAGCTGTGATTGGATTGCCAGGTTTCAGCTGCAAGCTGGTTCTAGAGAACTTCCCAGGTAGCACTCCTCTACTATCATATGCATATGCACTGCCATTGGAAGCCGTTTCATCTAATGTAACACTCTTGAGATGGGCAGCAACCGTATCAGGGCTTGGATTCTGTTCAACAGTCTGACGACTTGAATATTGCATCGACGGTGGCACAATCCATTTCATCCAGTCAGAGCGTCTTCTCACTTTTTCACCCTGAAAGGGAAACAAATTCGTTAAAAAAACAGTGATGATTTCCCATGAGGGGCATCAATCATATAGTCCATCCTTTCATTTTCAATTCTAATGTATATTTTAATGCAACTGTTTCCTGAAAAGTAATAAAACAATAAAGCAAATTTACAAAACCAGCATTACCTGTATTTCTATGACATTTGAAGCTCGTAAGGCATCCAATATGACTTGCATACTGTCTGTGAGCATAGAAACCTGTAAAAATATATAAAAACACTTTTTACAGCTATCTAAAGCATTGATAATGAAAAGGCCAAATATTTGAGTATGTATAAAGACACTTATGAATGTTTGTGCAAAGATTTATTTATACATGTTTCAACGTACTACAACAATAATTACATTGTTTTAGCCAACAAAGATTCTAGTTGGTTATAAATCTCATAGTTCGTAGTATTTTTGTCTAATAACTCATACTTTGTAGTGTTTTGATTCAATTTCTCTATTTATTTTTTCATTTGTTCTTTAATAGGCCATGCATGTCTTTTATGCAGCACACAATTTTATACTAGAATGAACTTAAAAGATATAAAGGCTAACCACAAATGCCAACCCGATGATGACTATCTCAAATCTAATCTGAAATGTTGCTCTTCTATTCCCAATTCTTAATAACCTCTCATCATTCTCATAGTCAGGAGTCAAAACAACTATAATAACAATATTAAAAACATAGCTTTATTTTGGCTACACACAAGTATTATCATATTTAAAACAACAAAGAATTGTATAATAATACTAGTATTAATTATATAATTACTACAAACCTAATACTTCGTATGTGGTACCTCCACCCTAATAAGATTCATAATTAACCAAAACGCCCTGGTTCTTTTGACCACAGCAATTAATGTCATAATATGACAACACCTACGATGCTCCGTTCGAAAAACTAATAGTTTGTTTCCCCCCCCCCCAAAATTCCGATTGTGCATTTTGGAGAGGAGGGCAGGGGGTGCTCGGGTGGGGTTTATGGGGGTAGAACTGTCATTTTTTTAATGGAGCACCGTAGCTCTTGTTGTCATATTAGGACAATAAGAGTAGTCAAAAGAAAGAAGCCATTAACCAAAAATGCATTTTTTAAAAGTTTGTGAGTTACCACTCTCACAACATAAATCCCATTTTTTATTTATAATTTCAGTGGATTGAACTAAATAAATCAGTTCACTTTGTTTGAAACTTTTTTGTGAAGTACATGAAATATTACATAAGGAAGCAATTTTCAAGAAAAAAAATGTTTGAAAAAAAACTCATACTTAGAGGGGAAGTATAAAGTATACAACAAACCCAGTAAAATCCCACACAAGGGTCTGGAGAGAGTGAGTACACACATGGTAGTCAAATTTGAGATTCTACATTGGATTGCTAGTAGACCTGGCAATCGGGTCAATCGGTTCGGTTCCGGTTCGGGTCGGGTCTCATTCGGATATATGTTATAATCGGTTCGGGTCGGTTCGGGTTAATTTCGGTTTGACTGGTTTTCGGTTTCGATTCGATTTCGGTTCGGGTTTATATCAGATCGGGTTTGTATCGGTTCGGGTTTGTATCGGTTCGAGTTTACATCGATTCAGGTTTGCATCGATTTAGGTTTATATTAGTTCAAATATATATCAAATATTTACTAATAAATCAATAATATCACATAATAAATTTAATCAATTCATGATATACTCCGTAGTTATTTTATTATTTAACACGGACGTACATAAAATTTAATCAATTTCGGGTCTAATCGGTTCCGGGTTTAATCGGGTTCGGGTTTAATCGGATTCGGATCTGAATCGGGTCTGAATACATTCGGTTAGGGTTCGGTTTGGTTCGGATCATTTCGGGTGTTCGAGTCTATTTTGGTTCTTCAGTTTTCGAGTCAAATTGGGTTTGGTTCCGAGTTATTCGGTTCGGGTTATCGGGTCTGGGTCAGTTTTGTCAGGTCTAATCGCTAGGCCTAATGAAGATCGTACCATCGTAACTCGGATCGTAAGACCCTTACTATCTATCTATCTATGTATGCAATGTATGCATGTATGCATGCATGTATGTGTGTGGGTGTGGGTGTGTGTATGTATGTATGAACGTACTTACGTATGTATGTATGTGAGGTCATTTCCAAGAGGCCCCTAGCCCAAAACAAAAGAAACGCAACAAGATAGCTAAAGGAAAGAAAAATGGCTAAGGATAGAAGCACGAAAGACGCAAGCAAACACGTAGCTACAACAAACTAAGGCAACAAGTCCTACGCAATTGGTGGAGCAGTATCCTAAAGCCTTTCTTACCACCCTGATCCTAGAGCTTCAAGCACACCTATCTAAGGTTATATCCTCAGTTACCACCCAAAGCCGCAAGTCATGTCTAATGACTTCTTTCAAACTCTTCTTGGAATCCTGGGTATACCCTTACCCCTTTTCATGTCATCTTCATCAAGCCTCTCGCACCTTCGTATCGAAGCATTTATACTTCTGATATTGTGAAGCCTAGAAGGGCGGAAGTGGCAAATCACTTATACAACAGTAGCTTGGCTACGGATTTATTTCAAATGAGCTGAACTATGTTCAACAAATTTGTTTACCAATTTATTTAGTACTCCCTCTGTCCTCCATAGATCTTCTCATTAGCCCTTTTTATTTGTCCACCATAGATCTTCTCATTACCTTTTTTAACACTTAAAATACCACAACTACCCCCACTTACTTTATTTATTACATCTCACCTACCTCATTTAATACACTCCACCCATTTTCATTAAGGGTATTATGGTAAACTTTCACCTTTTTTCAACTCTCCTAAAAAACCGCAAAAAGTCAAAACGAGAAGATCTTAGGGGGACGGAGGGAGTAGTTCGTTTAAGAGTTCTTACAGGAGCGCAGCTGAAAGATGAGACGAGGCTCTTATTCTCATCCTGCCCATATTCCAAACCAAAATGATAAAAGAGCTTGCTCACATCCATCTATCACCTCCAGCTCTGGCATTTGCCTTGTCTAAGGGGTCGGGTGGGGTTAAGAAAGTGTAAAGTGACTAGTTATGCCTGCCCGGCAGTGAAA